CAAACTAACCGAGTTAACCAACTACAAAAGACAAAAAGATTTACTTTTGCTCATGGTTCCATGATTCATCGATCCTGTTTGGAGCCAACACATCACACCATGGTGGGAAGCATATGGCAGAGGAGAGCCAGTCACCTTTTGGTCCTTTTGAAGCAGAGAGAGAAGGAAGGGGCCAAGGTCCAAATATTGCCTTCCAAGGCACTCTTCCAATGATCTAACTTCCTCTCCCCAGAGCCCAGCTCTTAAAGGTTGTGTCCCTTGCCCACGGTACCACTGGCTGGAGATCAAGCCTTTAACACACGGGCCTTTGGGGATACTCCAGATCCGAATCCAAATTTACAGCAGTGGTGCAAGAGGAAAGATGATTAACAGCCAGCAACCGGTACTCCTCGGGCCCCAGCCAAGGAGAGCAGAGCCCAGTTAGAGAAAGCCAATGGCCCAGCTATTCCACCGAGTCCCAGCCAACTTTATCCTTGATTATGCCATGCCTGAAGCTCTGTGGCCTTTCTTGGAAGGGCTTCTCAAGCTGCACCCAGAGCCACATGGAAAACACATGATCTGACCTTGGGATGGATGGCAGGGAGTTAAAACAAAGCCTGTCTTCAGTAAATAATGAATGACCGTTCAATGATGCCGGGGGGGGGGGGGGGGATGAATGCCTTTCAGAGGTTTCCATGCTCCAATATGGGTCAGATCAAACCCTGGTGCGCCCAGACCTACAGAAGGCAAGCATCCAAGAGTGGAACGTAGGACATGCCCAGGGCAGTCTATGCCCAGCCTGGCTTCTGAGCCACCAGCATGAAGAGTGAGTGCTCCCTTCTAAAGTTGGCCACCACAGCTGTGGCCTCCACGGGAAGAAAAGCATCAACCAGAAGGAGGCCACAGGGAGGCCACACTACAGGCCCCCGGCCAGAGAGCATCCATCCCAGTCACATGTCCACATCACGAGAAGTCATTACTCTGACTCAGGGCAGGACATCTCTCTCAGGCCTCACATCCCCTCCCACCTCCACTCTTACTCCCAACCAGACATCTCTAGCTATTCTTCCAGTTCACTGCAGATTAACACCACGGAGTCCTCCATGGTGGAGGGCAAAGCAACAGCCCCCAGCAAGGCCTGAACAAACCTCACCTACTGGTTCTGACTTGAATGCCACTTTTCCTAATTAATGCCAAGTTTGGTTGAAACTAAGCCCTGGTCTAGAAACTGCAACTCGTATCATTTTTCCTCTGACACCCCAAATTCAAGTCTAGCGCATCATAGGGGTCTTGGTGGCAGGCTGGAAAAGGAGTACACGCAGCAATGGAAGAAGCCAAGTCCAAATCCAAAACCCTCACCCATTTTCCCCAGGGTTCCCTTGTATAGTGCTGCCAAGTTCTAGATCCTTCCCATTGGAAATGATCAGAATGTTGAATGGGAGCCTTCCTGTCCGTTGTACCAGCCCATGGGCATGGCAGGGGCTTGGGAGGCACCAGAAGTGCCCGGAAGAGCACGCAGTATGATGATCATTGAATTCTACATGTAGTGTTAAATGCGGCGCCACCAACTTGCTCTGGTTTGCCCGGGGTGAGGGGGTGGGGGGAGGGAGTCCAGTTTTAAAACTGAAATCTTGAATCTCTCAAGTCCCTGTGACAGCACACTGGGATGGCTGGTGACCGTCCTGGGTTGCCACACCCCCAGGTGAGCGTAGAAAGCCCTGTGACTGTGCACTCTGGCTGGCAGTCGCTTTCCTCTGGTCTTGTCCCACGTGAGACGAGCAGTGTAAAAGCCCCTCACGTCTCAGAGCCTCCTTGGGGTCAGGCCTGGCACCAGCGATGTCCCCCAGGTTCTGTCATGGAGGAGGAGCTGTGGGATATCTGCTCCTCTTGATTGGCTTCTCATTGCAGCCTCCTCATTGTGGCCCCCCTCTCCTGCAGCCATGTGCAACACAGACAGACAGACAGACAGACAGACGGACGGATGGACGGACAACACACACACACACACACACACACACACACACACACACACACGTTTCTCACCTTTGGCCAGATCTAGGTGGCCTGGATACCTCGCCAGCATGTCACTAGGTGGCACTGTGTGGCAGTCCATGGTAGGGGTACGGATAAGGTCAGTTTCTCAATCAGCAGCTGGAAGACCCCCAGAGCTAGAATTTTCCTTCTCCCTGCATAATTCCATGTGTGTGCCGTGAGAAGAGGATGCAGGTACAATGCTAAGATGCCAGAAGCCATTATTTTAAAATTAAAGGTGTGTTTGCATATCACCTGGGCCACCTCTTTAGTTTAAAAGAATTAGTCCCTGCTTACATGACCAGTTCATTATTATTATTTATATCTGTAAAAATAGTTTTTCGGTTTTTTTTCCCCCTCTTTGGGGTAACTTGTCACTTTAATAAACAACTGTGATTTATCAGTAATTGGACAATTCCCCAATTACCTTAAGGACTAAGATTATCGTTGTATTTATTTGTGCAGTGAGAAATGGTAGCCTTGTAGACTGTAGTTTTTAAGCTAGGCTGTCCATCTTCCCCTTGGCTATGGGGAACAGACCTACTACAGGGCCCATCACGAGTGAGATTTGAAGAATCAAATCGTTCCACTTAGGGCTTCCAGCCTTGCTGCCTTGAAGACAGAAAGTGGGAAAAGCAACAGATTAAGTTAGCTGATGAAGCTAAATTGGACTGTGTTGTGATCCTCACTACAGCCAGCTAAAAACCAAAAGACAAAAGGCAGTACGAAAAGTTAGCAGTGCAGTTAAAGTATGTCCGTGCAGAACTACAAGCTGCAGCTGGAGGAGGAGGACCGAGGCATGATGGAAAGCCCGGAAACAGAGTCTGTGAAGAAGTGTCCTTTAGAAAGCAGAAAAGCTCAGGAGCGATTTATGGGGTGAGAGCAGAGGAGTATGCAGTGTGCTGTGTTTAAATAAGCAGAGAGACCTCAACCTCGCAACCAGAATGCCTTGCCCCACAGCTGGTGGCATCTGGTGACCAGATCAGCCATTTGTTGAGCACCTACTGTGTGCCAAGTTCTTAACACATAGTCAGCTCAGCCTCCCCAACTCCACAAGGTGAGCGTTGAGCATCCCTACATCCAACAGGGAGAGTGAAGTTCAGAGATGTGACACAGTTTCGACTTGGTGCCAGAGAACTGGAGAGCAGAAAACTAACTCCAACTCCATACTCAATCCAAGTCCAAACTCTCCTCTCTCTGCCCCATGTGGTGGGTAAAGACCCAGGACAGGAGAAGACAGTTCATGGTCCGGTTTTACCAGGAGCGCTGTGGCTTCAGGTTGGTAGAACGCGTGTGATGACTGACAGACAGACTTGAGTTCCAGCTCTGACCCTACCTCTTATTAGCTGTGTGATGCTGAGACTTTCATTTAACCTCTCTGTGCCAAGAAAAGGTGGGACTGTCCACAGTAGGATGTTGTGATGATTGTAAACACTACGGTCAGCCCTGGGTCTGCTGGGTGACTCAGTAAATACGCGATACCAGTGTTAGCTTTGAGGCTTACCCTGGAAACGGCTGGCAATTGTGCTGTTCTGATTCTGCTCCTGCATTTGAGATACTTGCGATGCTGAATTCTGCTCATCAGGAAGGTCACAGAACTGTCAGGAGCACATGGTCTGTCTACAACAAAGAGCTAGGGCTGTGTTTGACAGGCTACGAGCTGTTCGGGACCCACAAAAACTTTAAGCTCCTTCTCACCACAACTGGGCCTCTGGAGCCCAAGAAAATGACAGGGAAATGGTGGCCCTGACACCCTTCCCCAGGTGGAGAGTAGCTGAGGGAAGTGGAGATACAGGAGGCCTAGGGAAGAGGACTTTGGGAGCCATCTTCAAATGACTAAATACAGGGAGCAGGGGAGAATGAGTATGATGTTGTCCCTGAGTGTGGAACTGGAACAAGACTGTTGTGTGTGTTGTGGAAGGGGCACTGGAGGGGCTAAAGGAGCCCTTGGGGTCCTGGTTGCTTCCCTACAAAATGAGGTGACTCTATACACCTCATATTTTCCAACAACCGTTCAACATCTCAGTACCTGAACATTCAGTTTTATCCCCACAGTAGTGCATGGAGTTAGAACAGACATCACAGGCTATAAGGAGTATAAGACTCCACTCACCTGCCAGGTACAAGCCCTGGGTCCCCAAGCTACCACCACTTACGCCTGATTTGGCTAGGGTTCTCACCATCTGACTTCAGTCCATTAGAACGGATCCCAAGACTCAGGGAAGTGCTACACTTGTGATTATAATTTTGCTTTGAAGGACACAACTTGAGAACAGCCAAGTAGACACATCCGGGCGAGAAGGAAGTGAGGGGCACACAGCTTTCATTCTTTGGAAGGTGTCTGAATTGTGCTTGGCAGGGTTGACTCTGGGGTGTCATTTTGCGGGGATGAGATATTGCATCGGTTATATGACAGGACTCGAAAGCCAACAACCTCACTCTCTCTAGTGGTTGGAGAACAGGAACGAACATGCAAACCTTCTAATCCAGAGGTTTGTTCCTTAGGTGACCACCCCCTCCTGAGGCTACCTAGTCCCCCAGCCCAGTGGCCATCTCCGCATAGAGCCTGGAATGGGAAGAAGGGGTTCCTTAGGGATAACAAAAGCCCCTCTTATCATCCAGGAAATTCCAAGGGATTTTAGGAGCTCTCTGGCAGGAACCCGGGATAAAGAGCAAATTGGCTTTTAGACCACAGACACGTTCTAACATCCCTTCTATCTCTAACATGCTGTGTTTAGTGGTCCCCAACCTCATTACACAATGTGGTTCGTCTCTGGGTAAGAAAATACCTCCTTAGCCAGAGATGTTCAGAAATTTAGGAGGCTGCTGCCAAGAGTTGGAGCTACGTGAGGTAGAAAGTGGTCTAGCTGAAGCTGGATGACCCCAGTCTCAGGGATACTGATAAGGAAATCTCCACACTGGGATCCGTTTGCCCACTGATTGCAATTGTCCAGGAACAAATATACTATCACTGCCTTTCTTGATTTCAGAATCGAGAGGTGCTTCCGTTCTGGATGAACAGCACTGGCAAGAAGGGAGGCTGGCAGCGTGGATGGCATGGATACGACAATGAACTCATGGACATGAGAGGCATCTTCCTGGCCTTCGGACCTGGTAGGCAAGGGGATGACGGCATACTCGTAGGCAGCGTTCCAAGGAAGCAGCTCTAACAGGGACTAACCACACTCGTACAAAGCTGGAGCAGTTCCTTTATGGACCCTCTTTATGGGCCAAGCTAAGCAAATCCAGCCGCTCTCCATGAAGCATCTTTGGCGGGCTTCCTTTCAGATTCTTTTTTGGTTTGGCAATTGTGGCCAAATACTTTTCCTTGTAAATTTTAAATCCTGAGTGTGGTGCCGAAAATGTGTTCCACATGTCTATGATTCATTTTTTACTTAATTCATCAAGATGTTATTTTACAGCTATCTGATATGTCCAGAAAGGCTTATCAAACACCAGTTTGCTGACAGCTGTGAGTCTCAAGGTTGACGCTATTGCTTCCTGGACTCTGGCTCTTAAATAGCCCTGCTTTGTCTAGAATATCCACCCCTGTGGGGGTCCATTTAGAGTCCAACTATAAACTAGGATGTATTTAAGGGCAGGCTCAGAAATGACCTTGAGATTGACTCTGAGAATGAGCCAGAATGACGAGAGATATTTATAAAAGTACATTTACTGGCCTTTCCTTGGTCAGATTATATTCCAAAGGTCTGGAAGAAAGGACAGATGAAGAGAGCCTCTTTGGTCACTTGACTTAACTGATGGGGCACTGTGAATCTGCACACTGGAAAATTTTACCAAGTAGTCTACTGGGCACACTGCTAGAAACATAGCATCCAAGAGAGACATCAAGGGGTGAGGGAGGAGAGGGTAGTCACTCACTCCGAGGACTCTCAGGCGTCAGGTGACCAGTTCACAGCTGTCCTTTCCACTACTCTCCAGTCCTCTATTAAACATTCTCCCCCTGACATCTGTATTCCAAAGGCATATTTCTGCTTCCGCTCAAGAAAGTCCACGATTCACTTCCAATCATATGTTATCTACCTGTGAGCTCTGCTCTTCTCATCGGAGGAGCGAGCGAGGCCGGCCACGTCAATTCACTCTCTGTGCTTTGTCTGTCTCCGTTTACCCCACCTACCACAAAAGTGCAGTGAAGAGCCTGAGCTTGGCTGAGAAACAGTAGTGGTGAGCCGCAGTTAACCCCACATAGGATTCTCACATCCCAAAGTCAGCATCAGAATCAGTGACGGCAAACGTGTGTAGAGCACTGGCTGAGTTCCTAACACAGGTCCAAGGGACCAGAGGACGTCTGAGTGCGGGGCCATTGGCCGGTTAAAGTTAGGAGAGCTTCCTGTTGGCCAAGCCCAGGCCTTGCAGAGCCTCAATGCAAGAGGAATTAAGAATGGAGCTTTTAGGACTATGTTGAGGTCTGTTGTAGATCAGAAAGAAGACATCCCCAGGTCATGGCCTTCATTTGGGAGAACGTCAATCATCAGGATTTTCAGTCAAAAAATATCAGCACTTTCTTTCCCAGAAGAGAGAAGAAAGGTCAAGAATGCTCAACAGTTGTCTGTGGGACTGTGTATGAGCAAGTCTCGTGTGTGTTTTAAACCATAAGCCAATCCAGCCCCTGCATCAAAAGTTCTAAATGAAATACCCAGCACTGCTCTGACTTAGAGTGAAATTCACCAGGGATGTTTTGTCCATTAACAGAAGCCTCTGTCATCAGCTCCTTTCCAATGGAAAGCCCTCGGCATTTTACAGACAGAAAGACAACCCCTGATGAAAATGGACTGGGCTAATTGCAAAAATGTTTCCTTGAGAGCCTCTCACAAACCATCACATTATTCCAGGCTCCAGTTCTCATGAAAGATTAAACAGCTTTACACACCGACTGTTGACTCGGAAGGAAATTTAAGAGAGAGCCCTTTAATAGCTATCTAGCCGCACTTGCAGATAAAGGTGCACACTTCCTGCTTCGTCATGCTTCTCACTTAGGGAGGAGGGCTGGGCATCATTGCGGCTGCCCAGATACCAGCCTTCCAAGCCAGTGAGTCTGTCCAGCAGAGAGAAAGGAAAATAATTCTGAAGATAGCCTCTATGTGGTTAATCCCATTTTCTAATTTCAACTGACTACCTAATCTGGTTCTGGAGAACTCTGTATTCAGTAGGACATGACAGGGGCAGGAATCAGCAAGTGGTCACAAGCCAGCAAACCTCTCTCAGAGCTACAGCCCAAGGTGGAAGGTGGCGGGGCACAGCGTGAGCCTACGGGACCTTCTCTTTTCAATAGATGAATTTTAATACCCAAAGTCCGTGTGTAAGCTTGTGGGAATAACTTAGATCCAGATCTAGGTTCAAAATGTCATCTTGAGCTAGTGGGACTTGGTGGAAGCCTTCCAAATCAGACTAGGTATTGTTCATCTCCTGGGGAGTTTTCTAAAAGTTCGCATTCTTTTTACTTGAGCTCAGAATTCCATGCGTTGAGAACAGAAAGCCATGAACTAGATCAGAGAGAGGTCTTGTGTCCTCCTTCTGGACAGGCATAGGCATGGGACACAATTTCGCGTTTTCAATCATACTTCAAATACGAGCATCCTCTCTGGGGTGTATGTCAGAACTTCATCTCCACTGTCTCTCTCTATATATATTTCTCTCTCTCTCTCTCTCTCTCTCTCTCTCTCTCTCTCTCTCTCTCTCTCTCTCAAACTCAGATTTTTGAAAGATCAAAGAAGGATACCTTGCACCACCCCACCGCCAGATGATGATCTGGCCTCATGTGATGAGCAGTGTGACCCTTCACATCCAGGTCACATGGCAAGTCAGGAGGACAAGGCAAAGTTGGGATCATAATCCTTGGACAGTCTTTCCATTGATCCATTGGGTTGTGGTGGGTTCATGTGATGATACTATGTCACCACCATCCACCCTCATCCAGTTACATAATTTGCCTTGACATTGAGAGACCTCTCCTTTGTATATTCCCATGTAGCCATGTTCTCATTTTTTAAAACTAGGTTTTTTTTATACTTTAAAGCAATTTCAGACCCTTGTTCTCCTTCCCTCATATGAAAATGAGCCCTCTAAGCCATTTATAAGGTGAATATTTTCAACCCTAATTTTTTTCTTGATGCCACTTACTTTATTTATTTATTAATAATAATGGTTGTTGTATCTGGCATTATGATTTAGGTGCCATTTCCCACGCCCTGTAGAGTGCTGATGCTTCCTCACACTGAATTCAACTTTAATTCTCCAAAGTTGAAAACCCATTTCTTGAAGAGCTGCTCTAGATCTCACACACTGGGTGCCAGGGCCATCTGTCTCTAGCTTTCTTCCATAGTTACAATTCCAAAAAGAGAATGGGTGTCAGTACTGTGCTTCTAGAAGATACTTTCTCATGCTTTGCTTGCGTCTTTTAAAATTAAGTAGATCTGACCACTTTAGCAGAACACGTGAACTGATTGTTTTCTGAGATAGAGAGCCTGACTTGCCACCTCTCAAGCTCTCTGTCCCTTCTTGAAACCTCTAAGATGGACGTTAAAAGCACAGGCCTCTGTTGATGGATCAAAACTCAACTCTGAACTCAGCCTTAACGTTGCTTGGGATATTTTGCTAGATATTTTGTTTGGAGCCCCCCCAAAAAAATTGCTTGTCTATGTTGTATTCAGATTGTCACTATCTAAAGCAGTGGTTTTCAACCTATGGGTCATGACCCCTTTGGGGGTTGAATAACCCTTTCACGGGGGTCATCTAAGACCATAAGAAAGCACATAGGAAAAATCATATTTACATTATGATTCATAACAGTAGCAAAATTATAGTTATGAAGTAGCAAAAAAAATAATTTTATGGTCCAGGGTCACCACAACAGGAGGGACTGTATTAAAGGGTCGCAGCATTAGGAAGGTTGAGAACCACGGGTCTAAAGGAAAAGGGCTCCATATTCATTTTCTGTCCCACAGGGAAGTAACTCCAATTGGTTAGAGAGCCACCTGGAGAAAGGACTGTGCATGACCAGCCTCTGATTTACACACTAATGCCCTCAGCTGGCACAGGATCTGGGTAGAGGCACAATGCCATGACCCCCATAGGTCACTTGAGGTCTTCCCTGGAATCTCAACTCCGATACCAGTTTGCTCATATTCCCTATAGCTAACTTATTTCGTCTGTTCCCGAAAGGCTCCCAAGCAATGTTCAGTTAATTCTCTAAATATATTGAGAACAACATTGCCATTGCTGGTGAGCTATCAGTCGCCAGGAGACTATACAGCTTCACGGGCCATATAGAACTGTGACTTTGGTATGGCAGAGAGAGAGAGACATTCTCAAGTTGTGGTGGCTGCTCTGGAAAGCACCCTAGGTATTACCCCTGGCTGGCTAGAAGATCTAGAAGATATCCATGACGTTTCCAAAGAGCCCAGCAAAAGAGTCGACCTTCTTTGACCACACTGGCTCCCCAGTGCTCTAGAGAAATGGAGCAGCCTCGCTGGCCTGTCTGCCTCTGCAGGAGTGCTCCATTGCAACAGAGGCACAGGGAGCTTAGGCACAAAGAACTCTGTCTGCTCACTTGTCTTTTGAAGAGTCTCATCTCCATGTCCCATAGAAGGATGTAGACAGACTTTTCTTGAGCCAACCAGCTCCCAAATCATTAATCATGAAAGCTCGGCCTTAGCTTAGGCTTGTCCCACTAGCTCTTATAACTTAAATTAACCCATACTTTTTTTAAATCTACATCTACCATGTGACTTTTACCTCTCTACCACTCTTCATGTCCCACTTGGTTTGCATCTCAATAGCATCTCCTCTGTGCCTTGATTCCTCCTCCTCCTCTTCCTCTTTCTCCCCAGAAACCCCACCTATCCTCCCTGCCTAGCTATTGGTCATTTATATAGCTCTTTGTTAAACCAATCAGAAGGCTCCTTAGGCAGAGACACGTCTTTATAATAAACAAATAATCTGAAACAGGTTTGTTCCTTCACAACCAATAGCCGTCCACATTTATAATCCTCATTTATAAGTCACTTAGCCACAGGCACCGATGGAGCTGACTTTCCCAGAGCCTGAGCAGAATCTCTCCATCTTTGAGTCAACCTTCCTTTTCTGAGTGACCAGTCCTGACTGTCTGCTTGTCTGTTTTCGCCTTTTAGATTTCAAGTCCAACTTCAGAGCTGCTCCCATCAGATCGGTGGATGTCTACAACATCATGTGCAATGTATCAGGCATCACCCCACTGCCCAACAATGGGTCCTGGTCCAGGGTGGTATGCATGCTGAAGGATCAGACCAGCTCAGCTCCATCCACCCCACTGAACCACTGTGCCCTGGTCTTGATTCTCCTCTTATATTTTGCATAACTGGTCATATCGCTCATTCCAAAGCACTGTTGCAGTAAGGCCTGCCTCCAACATGGGACAGTTTTCATTTTCTTTACGAATAATAGCTTTATTAACACAATCAAGGCCATTGAAGTTGTAAACATATTATTCTTGGATGATTATATACATAAAGTCCCTTCTTTTAAAAAAGAAACTTTTTAAACTCTGTTTTACCTAAAAGTTTGTTATTTTGATCTTTTCATTCACTTCACTATACACGTTTTCTCCTTAGCACATCCTTACTGAAGACCAACAGTGTGAGCAGTGGTCTGTCCCAGTAACAGCCAGTCATCAAATGGATATCCTGTAGTCTTCCTGGGTCCCTTTCATCCTGCCTTGCCCTATCAATCAGGCCCTCTGTGTCCTGTTCACATTCAAGTGCTCATACTTGGGATCTGCAGCCATAATTCTGCACTGTCTTTTCTATTCCGGAAAGAGGAGGTCTAGTCACAGGAAAGCAACACAGGCTGTCTGTTTCCACCCCGGTGCATGGCGTTTTTAAGAACACAGTCTCAGAAAGCAAGCAGGCCAGTAGAGATCACCAACCAACCAATTCAAGTATCAAAAAACAACTAAACTCACAGAACTGGCGGAAGCCATGATTTCCTCTCTCAAAGTCTGAGAAGACAAATGGCTTCTCAATTTCATTGAGTGCTTACATTGTAGGGTCCGTGAGGCTTACTACACAATCTCTCATAGTCTAAAGCCTTGTGAACCACAGGCCCTGAACATTGATGTGTACTGATCATCTGCCTACCTGGTTCATCTGCCTATGACCTCTTCCTTCCTCCAGACACTGCCGCTCTTTCGCTCTTGAGTCAGGGTGCAGGGCAGGTAAATACCTGATATTGTCAGTATAGGCTTAGAAAGGAAGAGATGAGCCGGGCGGTGGCGGCGCACGCCTTTAATCCCAGCACTCGGGAGGCAGAGCCAGGCGGATCTCTGTGAGTTCGAGGCCAGCCTGGTCTCCAGAGCAAGTTCCAGGAAAGGCGCAAAGCTACACAGAGAAACCCTGTCTCAAAAAAAAAAAAAAAAAAAAAGGAAGAGATGTCTCAGCAATAATAATACGAACATTAGAAATCTTAACTCATTGCTAGGAATGGTGATATATCAAACGCAAGTTTTGTATTTCAGGAGTCCAGAAGAGGACTATAAAAAGAGTTGATTGTATTTTTAAACAATTAGAGGCACGTGCATGTGCACATGCGTGTACACACACACACACACACACACACACACACACACACATACACACACATCTCTACATATGATGGTTAGACTTAGGTTTTTTTATACTTTTTTATGGTGAGGAAGCAAGACACATTCAATAGAGTGCAATCTGATTTTTGAACTTGAACATTTTCTCAGCTTAGTATTATGCAACGTGACACTGTCTCACGAGGCTGGCCAGAAGCAGCAACAAGCCACAGCTCCCAACCAGCCACATGATCCTGGGTGTAAACACATAATATCCTAGAGCATCGCGTGCGGCTAAACAATGAGGTTTTATAGGATGCTGCATTAAATTCATTTTGACTGAATAATATTTCCAATTTATGACGGGTGTATTGGGATGTGACCCCATCATAAGTTGAGGAGCTTATGAATCTTGTTGCTTTGCATTCGAAATGAGTTGGCACTAAATGAGTCACTAACAGTGACACTGTGTTGGGAAAAGATAAAACATCAGCTCTCAGGAGGAGGAAGCTTTTATTTGGTGCTTGCCTGGACAGAAACAGCTCTCCACAGCACCCGGGTTTGGTAAAGATGGGCTTGCCTTGAGTCAAGAGAGCAAAAGATCACTGCTTAAAAATGTTGAGTTTAGTCTCACAAAAGATTTCTAAGGATTTATGTAATGTGTTTTTAAAAGCTCCAACAAACCATGGAATCAACTGGAAAGGAGGCGAATCAGCCTTTGTTGTGTGGTTGAAAGCAAATTAGTACTTTCAGAGCACTGCTACGAGCTGTGGACACAGATATCCATTGTTCAGAGTTTTCTTTTCCCCTCAAGAATGGTGTTTTGTTGAATTCCAGGAAGCTGGCTTGACTTCCTCTTCAGAAGGATTTCTGAGAGACATTCAAGTGATGAAATTAAAAGTGAATTATTAAAATCAAGAGGGGATAATAAGATTTCACACACTATTGCATTTTTCTTTCTTGGTCTGTTCTGTTCTCTCCACTCACCCTTAAAAACCCTTTAAGTTGTATAACAGCAGTTCAGATCTCTGTCTGATAAAGTATAATTTCTCAATAAGTAATGTTGAATAAATGAATGAGATACCAAAGGAATCTTGAGTAGAGGTCAATAATAAAATTGAGGGAAAACATCTTTAGTCTAAAACTAACGCATACATTCTGATGACATAATTAGTTGGCTGAAATTCCCTTCCTTTTAGTTTTACTTTAAAGTCTAATTATTTTCCCCAGTTAAAAATCTACCCCCCCCCCACTATTAACCCTGCTTAGCCTCTGATGAGATACAGTATGTTCATGGTGCTATGGCTCTACCCTTCACTTTCTCTAAATGTCATGTGTTCTATAAAGTAAGATGTACTGGGAATATGCACACACACACATCCTTCCTCCTGAAGTTTTCTGAGACTTTACTGCTAACCCCAGGAGTGGGATAACTGAGTGGACCTACCACAGAGAAATGAAAGGGATGTTCTTTAAATTAAAGAGGAGACTAAGGGATACTTTCTCTGCCCATGTGCCTCAACTCCAGAATCCAATTTAATTAAGTTCTAAAGACCTAACCATAAACTACAATAGGTCCAGGGAATTCTTGCAAGCCTAGAAGAGTCTTAAATTATAAAGGCCCAATTCTCTTCACTTTTTGGGAATCCATATCAGATCTGAGTTCAGCCACAGATAGTACCTCGCAAACCCTTCCAGAGTAAGAGGGATAGGGCCCCAGACAACACTTGTAAGTCATAATAATGAAAGTCTGGGCTTGCTCCAAGGAGACATGGGTTTTGACTCAATCCCGGGATATCTGAATCCCCGGAGAACTATTTCATAATTAGGCAGTTTCTCCGGGGATCATCAGCTGACATTGGCCACTGACCAACCCCATTTGGGTCAGGCTTCTATCCCTCCAAAACCAAAGTGGGAGGCAGGGTCTGAAAACTCTTGGGGAGGAAGAAACTTGTGGAGGAAAGAGCAATAGCAAAGTCAGCTTCTGCACGCCCTGCCTTGTGGTTCTAAGAATCCCAACGGTGCTATCAAACCAACTTGGACGTTGTTCAAGATGCACAGCTCTTTTGTGGAATTTTCTAACTGTTTCGAGTTTGTGTAAATGTCAAGAGATTTCCAAGTGTGATTTGTATTTTACCTTTTAAAGCAACTTGTGATGGACCAAAGTCAGCTACTACAAATTTTTTGCTACAGAAAAGGAAGGCATCATCAATGCCCACTGGTTATTAAACATTTAAAACTTGGTCTCAAGTTTACACTAAGGAGAATATGTGTTGCTCAGAAATCATAAAATAGCACCTAGTACAGTGCTTTAAATGTTTATATTTTGAATGGAAAAAAAAGAATAAATGTCAACAGGGAGACTTAAACTTCTGATATTCTCTCTTGTCTGTGGTTGCCCCAGTTAAGCGAATTCTCCACATTTGGCTTGCTGTCTCTCCTTGTTTCCCAGTTGACAATGTCATTACACCATAGTTCATGGGCTAAATGTAGTCTATCACAGGTTCATAATTTAGATGGGAGGGAGGAAGGAAGTGAGAAGGGGAGGAAGGAAGGGAAGGAAGGAGGGAGGGAAGGAGGGAGGGAGGGAGGGAGGAAGGAAGAGAGAGAGGAAAGGGGAAGGGAGGAAGGAAGGGAGGAAGGGGAAAGGGAGGGTGAGAAAGGAGGGAAGGAAGGAGGGATGTGGGTAGGGGACTCAATTTAAAATGCATCCAGCATATTAATTTTTCTTTTAAAATGTAATATTTTATTAATTCTTTGAGTATTTCATACAGGTATACAATGTACTTTAATTCTAATCACCTCCTACTCTGGCTCAACTCCTCCCAGATCCACCCCCACCTCCCCTCCTCTCCAAACTTCGTGCTCTTTTCATTTTCCTTTGTACCCGCCGAGTACAGCTGTGCCGCCCACATACTTATGAGTGTGGACCACCCACTGGAGGATGGTTCACTTATCACTAGGGGTCATACCTTGGAAGAAAACTGACTCTCCCTCCCCTAGAAGCCAACTGCTCCTCAGCCAGGGGTGGGGACTTGTGAGCCCTCTCCTTTCCACAGAATCCTAACTTTTAAAAACATAATATCTTTATTGAGTCTGAATTCACTTACTGTACCACTTGTCTGTTTGAAGTGCACAATGAATTAGCTTCACAGAACAACTCACTTTGTTACCACAGCTCCACACCCATTAGTCATTAGTGATTAGCATCCATTCCCTCCCCTCTTCCGGTTTTGGTTAAGGTTTCTATCGTTGTGATAAAACACCTTGAGCAAAAGCAACTTGAGGGGGACAAAGTTTACTTAATTTTATACTTTCAACTAATAGTCCATCACTGGGGGAAGCAGAGGAGGAAGAGGATGCTGCTGACTCGCTTGCTCACCCTGCTTTCTTACACATCTCAGAACCACTTGCCCAGGAGTGACTACATCACAATGGGCTGGGCCCTCCCACTTAACTCATTAATCAAGAAAATGCCCAAGGAACTTGCCTATAGGCCAGTCTTACTGAGGCATTTTCTCAGCTGAAATCCCTCTTTCAAAATGACTCTATCTTCAGTTGACACAAAGGTAACAACATATTGTCAAACACTAAACCTCGGTGTCAACAGCTTTGTTACTTTGTTACTTTTGGATGTTACTTTGTTACTTTTGGATGTTTTATAAACAGACTTTTGTGGATAGCTTCTTTCACTAAACAAAATGTTTTAAAGATTATGGACTGAATCCATACTTCATCATTCATAAATTACATCCCATTGTGTGGATAGGTATTATTTTATTTATTTATCTATCCATTGACCAGAATGTTATTTTTTTCCTCCCTGTTTAGATATAAACAACACTGTTTTGAATATTCATATACATGTTTGGTGTTCATATATTTCAGTATCTCATGAATATACCTAATATTATGTGGCAACTTTATGTTAAACTTCTGAGGAACTGCCACATAGTTTTCTGAATTGACTTCTTTATTTCACATTCCTACCAATCATCTATGACTTTCTCTGCACCCTGGCTGGCACTTGTAATTACCAGTATTTTAAGATTAAAGATATCTTAATGAGTGAGCCATCTCATTGTGCTTATATTTGTGCTTCCCAAATGATGCAACATGGTATTTTTTTAATGTGCCCATTAGAAAAATGTCTACTCAAATCTTGTGCTCATTTTTTCCATTGAATTATCTTTTTCTGTATTGAGCAGCAAGCATAACTGACATATTTTGCTTACTAATTTCATATCAGATATTGTTTATAAGCCCTTGTTCTTCTATTCTGGGGCTCACACACTTCCTTGATGGCATCCCTTGCAGCATACATGTTTTTAGTTTTTGATGAAATTCAGCTTTAGTCAGCTGTGCTTTTTGTGTGTGTCATACCTAAGAAGGCTTTGCTCAATCTAAAACCATGAAGATTTCCTCCTTAAATTCCTCTGTGACTGTTTAGTTTTAACTATGACGTTCAGGTCTAAAATCCATCTTTAGTTCATATATATATATATATATATACATATATATATATATATATATATTGGTGAGAAAGGAACATAACCTCATTCTCTGTTTGGATATCCACTTCTCCATTTCTTTACTGCAAAGCAGATCTACTTTTTTAGAGAAATGTTACAATGATCCTTTCTATTGAACAAAAATATGTATTCTTTTTTAAAGACCCAAATAACTCCAGAAGTTTGGGTTTTTTTTCTATTTCTACATGTCCAACTACCCAGTACACAACAATTAAATAAATTACTCATAAACTTGAGGAGAGATACCTTCTGTAGAAAGCGAGCATTGGATGATCTTGAAATCAGGCACATCCATTGGAAGAATGTTGGGACAAACAAGTCAAAAGAGTTGACACCATCTTCTAGCTGTCTTAGGATGGGAGGCGCCATCTCAATCACAATCTAGAATGAGTCAAAAATCCATCTCTATCCAACTGTACCATTCAAATGTACTCAATACTTCCCAGAGTACACTTATGGTTTCATTAAAAAAAACAAACAAACAAAAATCAGTAAGCGCCTACATGTCTCTTGTCTCTAACACTCCCAGAGGCTTTCCTTCACCAATGTGCAATAGCCTCTTTTCCATTTCCCAAGGACCTTTAAGGCCCCAGCTCCCACACCTCTCTTGTGTCAAGAGGCTTTCTAACATGCAATTGAGACCAGGCCATTGGCCTGCTCTTACTCTTCTCAATGGTTTCCCACTGTCTTAAGTCAACACTTTTAGTGTGGTTTATCTGTGTTTATCATTGCTGTATCAGTGAGTGGGTGTGAAATTCACTTGCTTTTTATTGCATTTTCCACTCGCTTTAATCTGCCCCTCCAACTCACCCCTACCCTACTTTATAAAGCCTCAGACTATTTGAATCTAATCTCCAACAACTTCATATAGCCCCACTCTATATTTCTTCACTTCCCCCTTTAGTAACGAAAAGTGTGACACCTCACAACCACCTTTATTTCTATTTCCTCATATTCATTTACACAATAAATTTGTCGACAATACATTTTCCTTTTCCATCACAACAGATTATAGTTTCCTTGGGAACAGAAATCTCTCTTCGTTTTCTTTTTCTTTCAGTGTTTAGAATTTCAGGGTTCAAGGCACCCTAATCAAATCATTGCCATCTCCACACTGAAATAGACACAGAAATGGAATTCACTGAAATAGGCACAGGGTTCAGCAGATTCATGGAGAAAAACCATGTTTCTTCCAATAAGCCTGATAGATAATGGATAATATAGCTTTTAATGCATTCCATTTAATCATACACAGTTGCCAACAAAGGCTCATAGAGGAGCAGGGCTTCGTATACACAGGTCTTGTGGAGATGAAGGGGAGTCTCAAATTCACCAATGGCATAAGTCATTTCTAAGCATGGGGGTGGCTCATGGGTGCCAAGAAGAGAAGTCAGATGATTTAGAACTGTATTACATTCCTATAAATGGAAAGTGGAACATCTTTAATCATAAAAATGTGGTCGTAGTACATATTCCTACCTGGTACAAGGTCAAGAAGTAGCTTCTGTCACTGTATGAGTTATTTTCTTCATCATTGTGACAAATTATCTTCTAGGAATAAATGAAGGCGCCGTGGCATGGAAGGCATGCTCATGGGAGGGGCTCTGTTGAGAGTTGGCTGTGTGGTAAGGCATCCAGCAGTAGGCAGCACTCAGAGAACAGCACCAGCAGCCAGGCTTGGCTGTATCCCTCAAAGGCCTACCCCATAGTGACTCACTTCTGCCAACTAGGCAACATTCCCAAAGGTTCTGGGATGTCTCCAACGAGCACCACCTGCTGTGAGCCAAGTGTTTAAAACCATGAGTCTGAGGGAGACTTCACATTCAAACCCTAATTGTCACAGTGATATCTGTTACGGAAAGGTCAGTGGTAGCAAAGTCTGGACTAGGCTAGACTGACAGAGAGCTGATGGAGGTAGGAAATGCTAACCATTTATAGATGAATCATGGCTCATTCTGGAGGACAGCAACAGGGTAGTCATACTTGCCCATCCTGGGCATCAGAGGCTCACAAAGGCAAGGGTTTCAGTCAGACCTAGGGGATAGCTGGAGCTCTGGGTCTGAATGATGAAACTGGATGTTTCACTGCAGTGCTTGTCATGTATTCCCACTCCTCACACACCAGTAACTCGGGGTAAAAGGAATAAAACATCTCCCAGGAGATGGCCAAACTCTTCACACGTGTCTTGACTCTCTTGCATAGGATTTTGGTGAAGTGTGCATGATGGCCACTTGCATTAAATTACCCTTCCATGAGTCCTGAACATAAATACCATGGGTTTCCTGAATTCGCTTTCAAGTCTTGGAATTAAATTTTTTTTAAATGCCATGGAATTAATTTTTTTAAATGGCATGCAAATGAATATAAATATATTAATACAAAATAACATGAATTCACTTTTGATGGCTTGGGGAATAAATATAGCCATTTTCATGAATGCCTTATGCTTACCATGTCATGTCAGTAATTATTAAAGGGTGTGGAACAGCCCATTTGCAGCATGAGTAGAAACCATCAGCCTTTGGTACATTGGGCAATAGCCAGAGATGGTGACTACTTATGTGATATTTTGATAGCATTCTGATACTCCCGTGACTACCAATAAAGTTTGGTTTCAGAGGGCCGATCTAGCTACTAGCTGACCAAAATTAACCATAGAGGTTTTGGAGAACTGAGGTCAGATAGAGACACACGGGAAGTAGTAGGGCGGGGCTTAGAGAGGTTCTTGACCCTTTGGATGGAGGAATGAGAGATAGAGGAGGTCACTGGTCACTGTTCTGATGCTTCTCTGATCATTGAGGTTCTCACCCCAAAATCTGACTCCCGAGTTTTTATTG